GTCCCCGGCTTCAACGACATGGACGGCAAGTTTAACATCCGGACGTACCCTTGCACAAAATTGCATTACAGGGCCAACGCTCTGAGACGGATGTGGTCGTATTTCTACGATCGCACACACAAATTCATCCTTTGTGAAAAAGAGTAGCATCGTAAATCGTGTATGCGTATTACTGATGACATAATAATAAACAGCAGTTAAAACTATTCTAGTTGTTTTGATATATACATGTTGCCATCTGGCAATTACGTCGCCGAGGAGACAGTGATATCACAGTTGCATGTCGTGTTTTAATGTCACGTAGTTTTCACGTTTCGTCGTCAACCATCTAACAGGTTGGCCAGAAAATGGCAAACGGTTCTTTTAACCTGTGTAAGAGTCGTGTTCCTTAGTGTAACCAGGATCTGCTGACGCTAAGTTCATGATCCATGTGTCTGTTATCATAATCCTCATGTAAGAGGTAAATTTGATCATGTGACCAGTAAACGTGGCCAAGTCGTTTCAGACGCCAACGTTTTTTGCGCACACTTGCTAGACGTCATTCCATCCCAGACATGGAGCGGAGGGGTAGCCTAGTGGCTAGTGCGTTAGCTCGCGACGTCAAACACCCGAGTTCGATTCCCTTAATGGTTTAAGTGAGTAAAGCTCATTTCTGGTGTTCCCCGCCGTGATATTGCTGGAATATAGCTAAAAGCGGTGTAAAACTAAACTCACTCAAATCAGAACTTACATCTTGTTACCACTGAACACTGTGGACATCGAGGCCACATCGCAATGAGTGAGTGGATGTCATCATGTCTTTGTTTAGAAATAACTGAGCTATCATTTGACTGAGATTGATGTCGATCGTTACACATTTGGGGGGGTTCGATTACTTGGTAACGCCTACGACATCTGCTACCTTTGGCTGACAAGGCGACATGTAACTGCAATACAAGCAGCGTTAAACCTCATTTACTCGTCTAACCTCACTCACTCACTCGTTCATCACTCCTGTAATCTCACTCACTCACTCACTCGCTTGTCCATCACTCCTCTAACCTCTCTCCCTCTCTCACTCACTCATTCATCACTCGTCTAAAATCACTCACTCACCCAAACACCCATCTTCCTGTTCGCTTGCTTCCTCCCTCTCACTCACTCACTCACTCACTCACACACATGTCGTTTTAGTCAAGTTCACATGGTCAAATATTAAGCGGCAACAACTAACAACTTTTCTATTTCACTGTAACAAAGGAATTAGGGGAAAATTATATACGAAATGATAAACTGTAGATCTACTTAACATTGAGTGAGTTCAAATGTTACGTCATATCAGCAATAATTCAGCCATATCGTCTACTTAACACAAAGTCGCAGTTTTATAGAATTCTCGGGCACGTTTACATCTGATTAAAAGTCATTCATTTTCCGACATGTTTGGCACAGATTTTACAAGGGACTGATGAAAATTATAAGCAGTCACGTGAAGCGTGGGCCTGTACTAATGCCTATGAACGTAGGATATACATGGGAGTATTGTTTAATGCCGCTTTAGCACAATCAAGGCGGGGCCCCAAAGTTTGGGCTTGAAACGTCGTATCCATGTGAGGTATCAAAACCTCTCAAGCAACATGACGACGAACACTTTAACCACAAGGCCCAACCTGGCAATGGGGTGTCAGTGTGCACAGCGCACCCTGAGAAACCAGGTGATATTGTATATAACGGACCCTATAGAAACGGGTGGCAATGTACTTACCAGACCCTGACTTACGAAGTGACATTGTATGATACGGAACCTGACAAAACGGGTGAAACTGAACTTAGCGGGCCCTGACAAACGAGATGACATTGTATATAACGGAGCCTGACAAAGAGTCGTCACTGTACATAGCGGACCCTGACAAACGAAGTGACATTGCATATAACTGAACCTGACAAAACGGGTGTCACTGTACATAGCGGACCGTGACAAACGAAGTGATATTGTATACTCCTGAACCTGACACAAGAGATGTCACTTTACTTAGTGGGCCCTGTCAAACGAGGTCTGATTGTATACAACGCAACCTGGCGAAACGGGGTCACCGCACTTAATGGACCCTCACAAACGAGGTGACATTGCATGTAATGGAAGTTGACAAAACGGGTGACACTGTATATAGCGGACCCTGACAAGCGAGGTGACATTGTACATAACAGAACCTGACAAAACGGGTGTCACTGTATATAGCGGACAATAACAAACGAAGTCACGGTGAATATAACGGATCCTGACAGAGGGTCGCCACTGTACATAGCGGAAACTGACAAACGAGGTGACATTTTATGTAACAGAACCTGACAAATCGGGTGACACTGTGCATAGCGGACCCTGACTCACGAGGTCTGATTGTATATAACGGAACCTGACAAAACGGAGGTAACTTTACATAGCGGACGATCACAAACGTGTTGACATTGTATATAACGGAACCTGACAAAAACGGATGTCACTGTACACAACGGACCCTGACAAACGAGTGTGTGACATTTCGTGACGAGAACAAATTAGACGTTTATAAACAATATGTACAGATTATAAAACCTGTACTCCAATTACAGTAAAACAACTAAACTATCACTGGTAGAATTAAAACTAGCATGTGAAATTAAAACTAATAGCACCACATGGACAATACATAATATATAAACAGGCTATAGGTCGCCAACAACTGACAGTAGATCACCATACAAGGTTCCATGGGGACTTACAGCTCTTTTGCTACCTGCATGGACCCTAGCTGGATTTACACCATCCCTTCAGCTGCTGGCGATTGTGTTTTAGCCATTATCAAAAAGAACAAATATACTACGATTAAAAGTTTGGAAGAACTTAATTTACCTAGAATGATTGGCAAACGAGATGGCATTGTATTATAACGGAACCTGACAAAACGGGTGCCACTGTACTTAACGGACCCTGCCAAACGAGATGGCATTGTACATGATGGAAAGAGTACGATTGATGCAGATGTGCTCACTGCGTTGAAAAACAACAACAATATATTCTCACATTGTTCTTGGGTAAATTAATGAGTGATATTTCATCTGTCGAAATATCCTTATCTGATACCTCGTGACAGTGACACCCGGAACATCATGACGTCCTATACGTCAGACCTCGATGGCAGGGGTTCTATCACCATAACTATTTCACGTAAACCATTTTCTATTGTTAATTAATTTTAATGATCAAAGAAATAGAATTACTAAACAATATTAATCAGAGAAACCTAGATCAAATTATATCCAAAAGTTCTCCCAACTGTAAACTAAAGTCAGGTTCCGTTATATACAATGTCATCTCGTTTGTCAGGGTCCGCTAAGTTCAGTTCCACCCGTTTTGTCAGGTTCCGTATTATACAATGTCACTTCGTTTGTCAGGGTCCGGTAAGTACATTGCCACCCGTTTCTACAGGGTCCGTTATATACAATATCACCTGGTTTCTCAGGGTGCGCTGTGCACACTGACACCCCATTGCCAGGTTGGGCCTTGTGGTTAAAGTGTTCGTCGTCATGTTGCATGAGAGGTTTTGATACCTCACATGGATGCGACGTTTCAAGCCCAAACTTTGTGGCCCCGCCTTGATTGTGCTAAAGCGGCATTAAACAATACTCCCATGTATATCCTACGTTCATAGGCATTAGTACAGGCCCACGCATCACGTGACTGCTTATAATTTTCATCAGTCCCTTGTAAAATCTGTGCCAAACTTGTCGGTAAATGAATGACTTTTAATCAGATGTAAACGTGCTCGAAAATCTATAAAACTGCAACTTTGTGTTAAGTAGACGATATGGCTGAATTATTGCTGATATGACGTAACATTTTAACTCACTCAATGTTAAGTAGATCTACAGTTTATTATTTCGTATATAATTTTTCCATAATTCCTTTGTTACAGTGAAATAGAAAAGTTGTTAGTTGTTGCCGCTTAATATTTGACCATGTGAACTTGACTAAAACGACATGTGTGTGAGTGAGTGAGTGAGTGAGTGAGAGGGAGGAAGCAAGCGAACAGGAAGATGGGTGTTTGGGTGAGTGAGTGATTTTAGACGAGTGATGAATGAGTGAGTGAGAGAGGGAGAGAGGTTAGAGGAGTGATGGACAAGCGAGTGAGTGAGTGAGTGAGATTACAGGAGTGATGAACGAGTGAGTGAGTGAGGTTAGACGAGTGAATGAGGTTTAACGCTGCTTGTATTGCAGTTACATGTCGCCTTGTCAGCCAAAGGTAGCAGATGTCGTAGGCGTTACCAAGTCATCGAACCCCCCAAATGTGTAACGATCGACATCAATCTCAGTCAAATGATAGCTCAGGTATTTCTAAACATAGACACGATGACATCCACTCACTCATTGTGATGTGGCCTCGATGTCCGCAGTGTTCTTTGGTAACAAGAACTAAGTTCTGATTTGAGTGAGTTTAGTTTTCCGCCGCTTTTAGCTATATTCCAGCAATATCAAGGCGGGGAACACCAGAAATGGGCTTTACTCACTAAAACCATTAAGGGAATCGAACTCGGGTGTTTGACGTGACGAGCTAACGCACTAACCACTAGACTACCCCACCGCCCCCAAGTTCCGATTTGAATGAGACTGGATCCGCATGTCTGGGATGTGATGAAGCCTCGCAAGTGTGCGCAAGAAACGTTGGTGTCTAAGACGACTCGGCCACGTTTCCTCGTCACACGATCATATTGATCTGTTACATGAGGATTATGATAACATTCACATGGATCATGAACCTAGCGTCAGCAGATCCTGGTTACACCAAGGAACACATCTCTTACACAGGCGAAAGAACCGTTTTGCATCTTCTGTCCAATCGAACCTGTTAGGTGTTTTTCGTCAATGAGGACGAAACGTGAAAACTACGTGACATTAAATACACGACGTACAGCTGATATGTCGCTGCCTCTGCGGCGACGTGTTTGTTAAAAGGTAACATGTATATATAATAACAACTAGAGTAATTTTAACTGCTGTTTATTATTACGTCATCAGTAATACGCATACACGATTTACGATACTACTATTTTTCACAAAGGATGAATTTGTGTGTGTGATCGTAGAAATACGACCACATCCGTCTCAGAGTGTTGGTCCTGTAGGGCAGTTTCGTGCAACGGTACGTCCGGATGTTAAACTTGACGTCCATGTCGTTGAAGCCGGGGACGTACCACCCAGACCAACCCCCACCGAACCACTGGATCTTGTAGGCGATAACCCGACCTCCATTCTCGGCCAGCTGGTCAGCAAAGAGGTTGAGTCCGGCCGCCCAAACACAGTTACGAGTTGCCCTTCTTGTCACCTCCTTACATTTAGCCTGTAAATAAAAATGACAATAAATACAAGAGTCACCAGAACACACACACACACACACACACACACACACACAAATTTGAAAAAAAATCCCAAATCATCTGACAGTTACTTCTGTAATATGGCAAAAGGCACCACTTCAACATCTGTTTGATATACCTGCCAGGTCTTGTAGACAGATATTGGAAGGCTTTTGAGTTGTGTTCTGGAAACGAAGCCCACCCCTCCATTTTGAGACTAAGTCCAAAATGTTTTCATGGAAAACCGAGAAAAATATAAATGCCAAAAATCTGCAAATAGCAAAAGGCACCACTTTGAGATCTTCCTCATATAACTGCCAAGTTTTCTTGATAGATATTGAGCGATTTTTAGTTATGCTCCGGAAACGAAATCCACCCCTATTTGATACTAAGTTCAAATTGTTTCAATGAAAATCTAGAAAAATAAAAATGCCAAAATTCTGTAAATAGCAAAAGGCACCTCTTTAGGTTCTGTTTGATATTTATATCAATTTTTGCTGAAAAATATTGGTTTTGTGGTTATTATCCGGGAACGAAATGATTACGGATGGACTAACAGACAGACGAGGCGTCGACTATATCACCCGCATTGTGTGCCGGGGATAAAAAATGACAAGTCTCGTGTATCACGGTTTTGGAAAGAAACATAAAGTGAAAAGCATGTTGAACCCAATTATCAACAGCATCACGCATTGTTAATATTTGCTTTTGTAGAAAGAACGTGAAGGTTAGTGCATAAGGGCTTTGCATGCTCGTTTTATCAGTAGATAGATATATACAAGATAGTCGTGTGTCGAACCTCAATTACCCTGCGGATAAATGAATTTCCAGTTATCTGCCTTCTCTCACATTGTTTTTTTGTCTCCTTACTGACAAATGTTGTGTTTCGCGATTCATTAATCAGTTGATAATAGTCTAGGTAATCAAGGTTGTTATGCTTGGTTTACATTTGGCCTGCAATGGGTCTACGGCGCCCATATACTGCCGTAACTCCATTTCCGCGCGGTTGCCGTTCGCTGTACAATCATCGCACGTAGACTCTACGATTTTGTCATACAGCAAAGTTTTACAAATTGAAAACATCGTAAATCCGTAGCCCGTAGGTGGCATCGCACAGCCACCGCATGAAGGCCGCACGGTGATCGTGCGGTAAACGCACGATTTTTTAGTTCCCCAAAATCGTACGGCGATCGTAGGATATCCGTACGGCCATCGCACGATCACCGTGCGGCTTCCGTGCGTTGCCCGTGAAATCGTATGGACATTATGCAAGCCTTCCCACCGCAGCCGCATATATGGGGTGAAGGGTTATGGGAGACAACCTGATGGCCGAGCGGCAGCCTTGCGATGGACCAGACATTTTTACCATGGGTATATATACTGAGTCAAAAAAGAAACTTCACATTCTTTCTGCATGGCACTATAAAAGAACAAGAGATGGTAAGATGATTAAATTGTTATTATTTCATTGCTGAGATCTGTGTGATGTACTCGATACACTGACAGTGCCATAATCAGTTCCATTAGGCTACACCGCCGTTCCAAAACATGGGTATACAGAATGTCAAGTCACAAGAATAAAAATGCGAAATTCAATATTGTGTATGGCCGCCCCGCGCATTCACCACTGCCAAACACCGTCTCCTCATCGACTGCCTGATGCTTGTGAACACGTGGTTGGGGATTCTGCGCAATTGCTCTTGCAAGGCAGCGCCAAGTTCCTGCAAATTCTGAGGTTGTTTCCTAAGACCACGAAGCCTTCTCCCAAGTGCATCCCAAACGTGCTCTATTGGATTAAGGTCAGGGGACCTCGATGGCCAGCCCATGACGTTGATTCCAGCGTTTTGAAGGAAATTTCGTGTCAACATCGCGGTATGCGGCCGAGCATTATCATGCTGGAACTGTAGACCTGGGCCATGAGCCGCCTTGAAAGGAACGAGTTCAGGGGTGAGCACCTGGTCGCGGTAAGCAGCAGCTGTGAGGTTTCCACGGATGACCAGAAGTCGGGAACGGTTGTTCCCACAGAAAGCACCCCACACCAAGCAACTTCCGCCCCCGAAACTGTAGACTTCCTGTACACAACATTGGGCATACCGTTCACCACGTCGTCTCCTGACTCTATGCCTGCCGTCCGCGAATCTAAGGGTCAACCTGAATTCATCGCTAAAGACGACTCGATTCCAGTCTCTCTTGGTCCATCGCAGGTGACGTTGGGCCCACAGCAGACGTTATCGTTGATGAAACGGCGTCAACATTGGCCCACGATATGGATGTCGAGAATGGAGATTGGCTGCCCGCATCCGATTTCGAATGGTCTGTGAGGACAGTCGACCTCTAAACATCTCAGCCCTGGTTCGTGTAGCCGGCAGAAATCTGTCACGTAGGTGACGTAGGACGATTTGACGGGCTTCTGCTCGTGACGTCACACGTGGACGACCCGACCTTGGGCGATCAGAAGTGGTGCCAGTTTGTTGTAGACGACCTCGCAAGTCATACACAGTACGACGGCTGCATCCCATTGCTCTTGCGACGTCGATAACTGATCTTCCCGCTTGCATCATGCCAACGGCACGTTCACGTTGCACATTTGACAATCGTGGCATTTCAAGTACCGTTAGAACTGTGGTTTAAAAGTGGGTTTTTTTAGACCAATGCAAAAACGTGCGTATGAAGAAAACTTCGATGCGAAGATTACGTGATCGACTGCACGTGCAAAACCTGATTTGACACTAACGTCATTTGCACGACGAATGGATGGGTTTGAGAGGGTTTTGCTAACGTTTTTCTAGAGTCGAAAGATAGGGATGCCATTTCGGATACATAGAGGTATCATCAGAGAAAAATTATTAATTATTTTTCAAATTACATTTTGTGAAGTTTCTTTTTTGACTCAGTACATTTACAATCCCAAGCAGTTCTATCATTTGTCCCAGTTCATGAGAGATCCAAGACAACAACATGTACAAGGTAAGCCGACCTCCGCTCTGCCTTCGCACGGACGTGGCACTGGCTCCCTGCAGTAGCTGTGAAGTCCGCACGGAAACTGCACGATTTCTGTGCAGCCTCCATGCAGGTTTGCCACGGCCTGTCTCCAAAGGAAATCGCACGATGCTCGTAGACAATGTGAACACAAATGTCGTAGCCCGCGGTCACCCATGATGCGTAAACAATCGTACGGAAAATCGTAGACTACTTTATCGTACGGCGCCCGTGGCAAATGTTGATCCAGGTTTATCCATACATCGATAAGAAATATAACCTTTACACATCAATATAAAACAGCAAGTTTACAGGAATTTATTTTATTATCATACTTCAGTGCGAGAAAACGTATTTCTGAGTTCACTGAAGTGAAAATATCACTTAGCCTTAACTGCCTCATGGCTCTCCAAATATCTGTTTCCAGTATATTGTCACACAAAAACTAAATGACATTGTAAACATACGCATTTGGCCAGCAAAACGTGGGATGACCTGCCTCAAGGGAGGTTAACACGATCAGCTGATCGCTCAGTTATTCCGTAAATCCTCACTGCTCCACTGAGACTGAGACTGAGTAACTGTCCCTAGTGGTGTTGCGTCGAGCATGTTAAACCATGTAACCATGTAACCGTCCTCGAAGTGGAAGACCTTTCATTACCACTGCAGCTCAGGATAGGTACTACAGGGTACTTAATTTGCGGAATTGAACTGTCACACCAACTGCAACTGCAGTGCCTGGTTTGAGGAGTGTCGGCGCAAACCATTCGGAATTGTTTATGAGAAACTGGAGCCAGAAGATCATATTTTGACCCTGTACTGCGACGACTACATCGACGTCAACGGGTCACGTGGTGCACTAACGTTCAATTCTGGAATCTAAAAAACTGACGACGTGTATGGTTCTGTGACGCATCAAGCTTTCTACTTCTGTGCCATGACGGAAGAGTACGTGTCCATCCACGTCGAAATGAACTTTCTGTCCAGAGTTGTGTTGCCCAGGCGGACCGATATGGTGGTGAGAATGTCATGATGTGGGGGACCATATCCTACACGCTGAAATCTAACTTTGTGCGTCTTCAGGGCAATTTAACAGCGATTCGATACAAAGACGAAATCTTAAGGATTCACGTGGTTCCGATCACTCACCGCCAGAGGAAGTTGTCCCAGCAAGATAATGCCAGGCCTCACACAGTACATGCTACTATTCAGTTTCTTCAGAACGAGAACATTACAGTGATTCCATGGCATTTCCAAATCGTCCGACATCTACCACATCGAGGATTTGTGGGATGAACTCAGCCGACGCGTTTGTGAACGTCAACCAGTGCCTCAGACGTTTGATCAACCGTTGCAGGCATTGCAAATATAATGGACCATAATACCTCAAGGCCGAATTCAAAGACTTATTCAGTCAATGCCGAGACGGTGCAGCGCAGTTTTAGGGGCTCATGGTGGCCACAACAGATATTGAACACAACGCCCATCTGGGAACAGGCGTCTTCACTTCACTGTCTATAAGCTATACATGTTAACATATGACATTTTACCTGTTTATACTGTGATATTCGGGTCTACCCGATCAATGGATTACATTACTTTAAAGGTAACAGATTAAATTCGTGAAATTACACCTATGCGTTTCTTCTTTAGGATAATGTATCTGTTGTCTCGAATATTATTTTATTTTAGAATACCGAGCTATTTGTTATCTGTGTACCTTAACAAACTAGTCTTTAGTTTACGTTTGAGGAGAATTTGGATATCGTTAATCTAGTTTTCTCTTTAAATTTATTTAAACAAAAATGAAAATGAAGGTATACAACAAAAGAATGTTTTACGTGAAGTATGATGTATCAACAATCTCGTTACGCCATATTTTCCGTCTTTCACTCCAAGAGGTGACAGATAAAAATTTTAACAAACAGGTGAAATATACTCATGTATTTACTGAAGAACAAAGTGCGAATACATTGTTATCTTTTTCAACGCAGTGAGCACATCTGCATTAATCGTACTGCAAAGTAATATTTCAGGATTAACTGTGTATTTTTTGTGTATAACAAAGCAATAGCTTAGATAAATCTTTCAAATGATGCGCGTCCTTTGTTTATCGATACCTAAACACAATAACACAAATTCTCTATCAAACTCACCTGAGTTTTGATGTCGTAAGAGACATAGTCACTGTACCCGACCACCGTCGTTACCGTCACCGCCAGCAGAACCACCAACATCATCATGGACGACATGATGACCACAAAGCATGCACCAACGATGGTTCAGTATTATAGAGACCTACGTTTCATGATTAAAACATAGATAAACAGCTGACAGACTGACAGGGATTACATCGTGTAATGGCTTTCTAACACCTTGGCCATTGTTACTGGCTTCAGCGTCAAGCGTCATTTGCATTTCTCTCACTTTGGCCACGGGCATCGTAAAATGGCGTATGTATATCCATGTAATGTTAAAACCAATTAACGACATTTTAAAATTACACGATTCATCCACGTCAGCGTTGAGTCTAAATAAATGGGTGTAAACAGTCCATCGAGACCACCATGTTTTGATAATATTTTTCAGCGGTTAAATAATATCGCATATTATTCAAAATGTATCTAATAATTCTATTTCCTATAAAAATTCAATTATTAAATGATAATTAACATTATAAAAAGATCCTTAACTGTTTTGACATTGAAATACTTATCCCTTGTGATGGAAAAATCAATACTGTCAAACAGGACATGATTGACCGTGATTCTTTCATCACAAAGGGATGCAAACGGAGGATCTTCACCTTTTTTAACAGGTATTCATGAGTATATCTAGTATGGCCAATACAACATCGTCGCATAATTACCTCTTGGAAATCTGCACTGACAACCCCAGTAGGTGTAACCAATATAGGGTTTCATTTCATGCAATTTATTTATACCTACTTGAGAGTGTCCCACTTTTCTGCAACATATCACGGACGTACGATCAAATGATTGCTTTGTAATCGGGTATGTAATAAGACGTGGTGTCACAGATTTGTTGAGTGCTGCCTTACCAGCGAAATCGGCCATTGTGTTATCAGAGATTCCGCATAGCTGGGTAACCAACAGAGGACGATGTCGTATTGGCCAGTAGCAAGCTCATTATAAAATTCAATTACATCGATTAAAAGTGGATGTTTGTAAAAGAATTTTTTTATAGCCTGAAGGCAAGAAAGAAAGTCTGAAAATATGATATATAATATATTTAGGATGATTCTTAAATATATTTAAAGCGCTATTAATAATAGAACTATCGCCTGGTAATCTAAAAGAGATCATTGTAAATAAGGATTTGTATATATTATAGTTACTATTTAATTGATTATACTCTTGTTTAAATTTTTAATTCATTAGTTTCTGATTTTTTAAATGTTGTCAGTGTTAGGTCAACTTCAGGCCTCACCAATTGCCAAAGGAGGCGAAAGAAAGATGTCGTCAATGGAAAGTAAAACACCTAGACTATCGCAGTTAAATTAAAACTAGTATGTTAAGTTAAAACAAATAGCATCTTTTGGGCAATACAATATTTTTAAAAATGGCTATAGATCGCCAACAACCGAAGGCAGATCACCATACTAGGGACCCATCACGAGACAACCTCCGTGGTGAAGTCGTTAGAGCGTCCGCCCGAAGAACGGAAGGTCCACGGGTTCGATACCCAGTCGCGTCATGCCAAATGACGTTAAAATATGGTGCCGATGATGGTCCTACCTGGCGCTCGGCATTAATGGGTACAACAAGGACTGGTCGGCTCGGGTTCAGTAAAATGTGTCTGAGTGGGGTATTCATGCTTAACTGCGGCATGGTATCTCAGTGAGCTAGCACTATAAAACCAGCTTCAGTCTGGGCGAGTACATGCACTTACACATGCACGCATGCGTGTCGTTATATACTACCCATCAAAAGTTTACAGACTCACCTAATGCACTCACTATATGTTATGTATATATATATATGGTTTACATCGAGAGATGAATTTCGCCACTAACTTGGGGGAACCAACTGCTGAAGCTTTATTTGCTTGATTGTATGAGGATCGTGCACCAAATTGCTAAAAGCATAATGTGAAATATCGTTCATGCAAACAGCTGCGTTTTGGTGTAAAGTTTTGTTAAGAATTCGCCAATTTTTCACTGATTTTCATCATTCACTTCAACTCATTGACAATAGCAGCACTTTCAACGTTACGAATTTCTTTTTTTTACAATACGATTGGTTCGTATTGTAAACAATTACCTTTAAACTGAATGGAATATTTTACCAAATCAAGTTTAGAACAGTTGACTGAAGTAAGTTGCGACATTTACACTAGTGAGTCTAAACCTTTGATGGGTGAGTATATGGCGAAAATAATCTTAAGTGCGACGTTAAACCTCATTCCACCTCACCTCACCATCACAAGAAATATGTTGCTCCTGAGGGCTCAATTATTTCCAATGAAGAGTTGCGTCCCTTAGTATATATGCTTTGTTTTGTTTGTTGTTTTTAACGCCGCACTCAGAAATATTCCAGCTATATGGCGGCGGTCTGTAAAATAATCGAGGCTTGGAATAGTCAATCCAGTGATCAATAACATGACCATCGGTCTACGCGATTGGGATACGATGATCACCCGATCCGTTAGTCGCCTCCTACGACAAGGATGGCTTGCTGAAGACCAATTCTGACCCGGATCTACACGGGATTTAGTATATATGCCGAAACCTAGACAAAACCTCACCCCACTGGGATTTCTGTATTTGTCATACGAAAGACGCAAACGTATTCTTAGGTTTCACCAAATTGGTAAACGTCGAGTTATTTGAATTCCAATTTTAGAGAGATGCTGCGTAGTTTAGTCCTTGACATTTGTGATGTGCTAGTTGGTTTTACTGTCCTCCGATGAACGGTTTTATAATTTACATGTATTCGTGGTGAATTCTATACTTGTTTTAGTCACGATATGGCTAAAATATTGCCGGTGTGACTGTAAATCTTAACTCACTCACTCACTCCAATATGAGCTGATACGCCACATACAACACATGTTGTGTCTATAATGAAAAAATACGTGCTGCAACTGCGATTTACTATTATGAAATTAATTATATTAATATAAGTTATAGTAATTCTTAAAAGGGTTTATTCGTCGACGGCTCGTGGGAAGCGTATAGTGGAACACATTTGCCCCGAACGGATATCTTTGTACGCAATATGTTTTTTTCTTGAGGGTTGTTGAGCAGTTTATTTATTTGTGTATTTATGACATATCTGTTTCAGCATATCAGATAAAGGTTCAGGTACCGGTGAAGGGTTTGAAGTGTTACAAACGTTTTGTTGTCTATTCCCAAAACATTTTGGAGAAATATTGTCATACAATATGCAAGTCCATCCAGTTTTATTACAAGTGCCCGTGTCCTCACGTTTGTCGCATCGTGTCCTATTTTGTCAAGATCATTTTTTCCTAATTTCAACTTATTTGTTCAGATTCCTTATACAGTCACACACACACACACACGCACGCACGCACATCGACAGAGAGAGGGACACACAGTAGCTCGTTTTTATATTTTTATTTATATTTATTTAATAGAGATGTTGTAACCTGGTTCTTTTAATTTGGAACTTCTCGCAGGTGGACGACAAGCAGGAACAATCAAAGTCAAAACTTCGTGGATTGTCTAGTGGTTTTATTTAGTATCAACGGTTATAGTCTCTAACAATTCAGATACTTAGCAAAGGGGTGATGTAAAGTAATTCTGAATGTCCGGGAGCGCAACGACATCTGACCACTTAACGTTAGTCCCGCAAACCGTCTCCCCAACCTAACTTTCCCCTTAGTTTTATCCCCAAACTTTCCTACATCAAAGTCCATAATTCATCAAACGGAAGTCCAGAACATGACTGTTTTGCTGGACTGTCCTTTAGATGGCATATGCTATACCTAATTATTAAGCCTTGATCGACTACAAGCCCCTGTACTAGTGATGAGGAACAAGGCTTGCACCTTGATTGCCACTGTCACTCAGGCTCTATTTAATCCCCTGCTACATTACCCCTTGTCCACTGTGACGGGTCGAGTTGTATTCTCCCTCTGACCATGGCCCCAAAGACTCAATTACAACTTGTTACACTTGTCCGATGTCACCCAGCCTCGGACATCCAATTCTCATATCTGTAATCGTTACTATCTGCGCTCCCGGTTCTCACATTACAACTTTCCTTTACAGTTAAATACACAGTTAACACACAATTTATAAAATTATACATATTACTGCATGCAAACATAAAATATTATAACATTAATCAACAATAAAACATGTTCTTATTATTATTAATTTAAACCGGAAGTGTAGCTCCGGTTACAATATCATTTATAGTTACATGCTGGTTGTAAATCTATCTGTAATATCGTAGTCGTTTTACTGTCCTTTGCTGACTGGCATTTAAATGGTTAAAAGCTTATTGTTGTGAGTATTTGGCTTTCATTGTCAAGATAAAGCTGTAATACTGCCGACATGACTTCATATTTGAACTCAGTCTCTCATATCATGCGCTTGACATATTTGGATGACATGGATGTTTCTGAAAAAATATAATCACGCGTTGTTGAACTGATGTATTGATTATGGAGATTCGCACAGATGTCACAAACATTGTTGTGTGTCGTCAACGCAAATCGTCGCCCGTCCGACCACCTGTCGTATCACTGATGGTATCGCAGAAACTGACCCGGATCTGCCATCTCCGTGCTTGCTGCGATTACGACAGGTTTTTCAAGCATAAAGTTTCTTGGTCGCCGTGAGCTAATAATAATATAGAGGTCCTGATAATAATGTAGGCCTCTCTGTGGAAGGCATAGATAGGGGAAATTGTAAAATTTCCTTAACTAAACAATACATCACCCAGTTGGGAAGCTGGGAAATTACTGGAGTTACAAATGGACAAGGAAGAATTCAATCTTTTTACTTCCCGCCCAGCCAGCCTTCCTACGGTAATGAAACCAACCTGATTGTGCGAAAGCGACAGGAAGGCCTGGCAATCAACGAATGGACGGCAAGTCACTTAAGTCACTTAAAATACCATGCCAGGGGTATGCTTATCTGACGGATCAAGATCTCTGGCTACTTTAAATTCCCATGCGCTGTGAGCCTGTTGAACTTACAACTGGAGCCCGTAAGGAACCTTTGCATGAGCAGAATGCTCAAGTAGCAACAGACCCCAAACTTCTAATGGACGTCCTCGTCAGCGACTGTTCTGCGGACTGTTCGTTA